ATAATGCAAATCGAATTTGTTTTAATTAAATAATCTTGATTAAAATATTAAACTTACCAAGATTTAGAATATACAACCTTGTGCAAAAATAGGCAGTCTTATTATTGTAGTGTATATCCGATAATTTTAGAATTTATTCTTTTATCAGTGATTCGTTGAATGGTATGTTTAGTCTAAAATGTAAACACAGATATGATTTCAATGAAGTAATAAATGACTAGAAGGCATCAATTGAAAATATTTATGTTTTTTCAATGAAGTATTATTCCATTGTCAGTGTTCGTAATGAAAATATAAGCGTCAATTTCATATTCTACTGCTCATATTTTTGAAAGATAAATTTTTTTTCCATAAATAATGCCTAAAAATGCACAATAGCGCTTGTTGATTCAACTTTTACACGAACAGGGCAAATCTCAGGTTGAAATAGCCCAAAGAGTTAAATGTTCGCGTGGACTAAAACTAAGAATGGACCTACTAAATACTGATAAAAGCAATAAATATTGACTAATTAAAAGTATATATAATTTTATTTTTATCTGCCTTTACCACAATTTAAAATAACTTGGTAGTTATAAGGTGGCTGATACTTTTGCACAAGGCTGTACGTATTTTTGGAATAAATTTAATGCTTGTGATAAACTTATAGATTTGCGGATATATAAATTTTTAAAATATACTTACAGGGACGGGTAATTATTACTTGTACTATAATACAATATGTATTTTTCTGTGTGCGTCGTTATTCAACAGACCTAAAATAACTAAGGATAGAATGACACAAATAGTGTGCTAATAGTATTTTCCCAAACGCATTTATAGATACAAAATTATACAGATCCAAAATTTGCGGATCTAAAAACGGATGAACGTTTCATTTTCTCGTGCACGTGCACTTGGCAGCAATGAGTGCGCGCGCACTCGGATACACAGGTGGTTCACGCGGTGATCTAACTTTACCTAAACAATCTTTAGACCGGAATCAGACTACACATTAAAGATTGAAATCGAAAATTGAAGATTAAAATTTGACCAATCAAAACAATACGAGCTAAAATTCCTTTGTTCCCATTGGTCAAATTTCAATCTTTAATCTCAATCTTTAACGCATAGTCTGATTTCAACGAGGATTTCAACCCTAGAAGGATACAGGCCGCACGATCACTCACCCTTCCATAATTTCATGCGTGTTTCTTATCAGGATTTAACCTTCATAGAGAAAGACTTTTCACGATAAAAATCAAATATCATAAATCTTGGAAGTGTTATCTATGTATAAGATCATAAGACATGCGTGATAAGTAGATATAAGCAACGAATTAAAATGAATATATTCATGGATGATGAATTGTTATATCAAGACCATAAATTTCAGATTATGTATATTTTTTTAGGATTATTAAATTCCCCCCCCCCCCCTTCAAAAAGCTAACAGCGCTTTAATCTCTTTCAGGATTTAAGAGATAAAACCAATGATATATTTTAAAAAATATAAGACACGCGCGTGATAAGTATAACCTCCAAATTAAAATGAGTATTCATAAATTTCAAACGTTTTTCTCAGGATTATCAAATTTCTCGAAAAAATTAGCAGTGCCGCTTTCTTTTTCAAGATTTAAGAGATGAAACCAACAATATGTCCCATTTACAAATATTTATAGCTTTCTTTAGACTTCCTCAAAGGATTTTAGAGATTTAAATCACAATTTACGTAACAAATCGTTTCATACAAATAATAACAAATCGAGGTTGATAATGGCTAAGGTTAACCGCTTTTTATAATACTGAATAGTCATATAGTTGTTGCGACGCTACAAGACGAACGAAGCTTGATTAACGGAAGGAGGGACTAACCGTCTTTGAACATTGAAGTGATGACGAAATTTATCGTCTTCTCGAGTCTCCATTGATACTGCGCTCTGAAATGCATTCTATGTGATAACGATGTCGATTAACTTATCTATAATAATCATCTGAGTGCAGTAAAGCGCTCAGATCGTGTAACGATTTAAAATTAACGAATCAACTTTAAAACTAATTTTGGTGAATTTATTACCGACGAAATCTTTCCTTTTCGATCATCATTGTCATTTGTAAGAGATCAACATCGTCAGCACGATGCGTTTCAGAGGACATTCTCGTTTCAACGTTCACATCTGCGGTAGACCAGATTACACATCAGATATTTTCGTAACCAGCTGTTCAATCAGCTGCGTCACAGATTACACGCGTATGCAACAATAACAAATATAAATTAACTGATAAGTATTTTCTTGCAGTATTTTTTTGTTTGTGATGATTATCTCATCTTTTTAAATCTGAAAATGTCAGATAATTGATATATGTATACACATAAAAAGAATAGTTTTATTGTTTGAAGTAACTGAAAATTTAGTTAGACACAGATCTAAAAATAATTTTGTCAGACTATCAAAATGATTATGTAGGAATCTCAAATATGATAAAAAGATATACTACGAAAAGTTTTAACGTTCCAACAAGTTTAAGCATTTTACATAATTATATTTTATTAATGACTCGAACGAAATTATTTTCAAATTTGTATTTAACTAAATTTTTAAATACTTCAATAAAACCACTCATTTCATTTCATGTACGAATAAGTATTCGTTGAAATGATATGACTAGTTTGAAAGTGAGATAATACGAATATTGTCGTGAGATAATACGAACAATGATAACGTTTGATTTGTATGTAGCTATAAAATCGTCACATAAAGGCGGCACTCGAAAGATTGAAACTTGTATTCAGAACGCTCTAATATCATAACCTTTATTTATCGATAAATACATGCTTTTATGCTCAAATTCTATAGTATATGCAACGTGAACTATATGCTAAATACGCTAACATCGCAAAAACTGCATTCTGAATACGGAAATGAAATTCTAAAAATAATTCAAAACGTATTAAAGATAAATAAAATTTAATAAAAAGCTTTCGTAACATTAATACGTTTTAAATAATTAAAATCTTGATTTTCGGAAAAAAATTTCTTTTTCTGAAAAAAGTAATTTAAATTTTAATCTTTCAAAAATTTTGTTTCATAAGATTTTATTATATTTTATTAATAAATGACCCATATTTAGATTTTTTCAAATATTCAATATGCAAAATATAAAATTGATAAAATTAATTAATGTCTAGATTAATGACTTATCTAAATCGCGCTAAATGAGAAAAATGATATCGATTATTAAAATACGTGATAATAAAATACGAAACTTTTATACTTGGAATTATGCACGATTCTCTATCGGAAAAATCATAAAACATTTTATCACGATCAAGTAGCGCAGTCAATTTCGTCATCAATTTAAAATCTGATAAATATTTTTACATTTTTGATAAATAATAATTTTCAAGAATGTGTGTAGTGTTCTATGGATGTTTTGTGTGTGTAAAATCAATAATATTAACAAACAATATATACAATTAAATATATGTGCATCTCTTAAAAAATACGCTACAATATACAAATATTTTTCTTATTTGGCTGAAAACTGTTGAAAAAGAAAAGTTAATTACAATGGATTCCATAATTCTAGGTGCGAGACGAACGTATTGCACGATTGACACGATATCATTAGCATAACTGTGTTGTCATGATAACGAATGAAATAAGAACACAGGGCAATGTCCATCTTGCGAAAATAATGATGCATGTTATTTTCTAAGCATTTTTTAAATACAAATATATCTACTTCTTACGTATAAAGACAAAATTAAATTTTTTAGTAAAAATCAACGTGCAAAAAATCAACGATAACAGAAAAGAACGGTTTGGTAGAAGTACCTAAAAATTTAGCTAGATACAGATCTGAAAATCATTTTGTTTGGACCATGAAAATAATTATGTAAAACGCTCGAACTGCTTGCAAAAATGTTAAAACTTTTGCAGAATTATCGTCAACGTTTTAACATTCTATATTATTTTGATAATCCAACAAAATTAGTTTCAGATTTGCATCTAATAGCGAATTTTAGTGCGCATCTAGTGCATATTAAAGCTGTTGATTTAAGCAATAGTATAAAATGCAAATATTTCGAATGATAAAATACAGACTTCACTTGACAAATACAATATATTTTTATATTCAATAGAATTTTATATTCAACATATATTTACGTCAATTTGTGTACGATTTTAACGTGCACTCGTGCGCACTGAGTGCATCCAATCGGATTCGCTATTAGATATCTCAGCAAAACCGTTCTTTCCCATGCAAGAATTAAAATCGTACGATAGAAATATTATAAATTTAAGTATCGTACAGAGTGTCATCGTACCATAAGACTGAAGGAAACCTGGCGAATATCGGCAGTAAAGTATACGAAACGAGGCTTTGTGCGATATACTGTAGAACTACGTAGACACCCAGAATTATGTATATCCAGAACTTAGGCATATAACCCCGATATCAGAAACGGGAATAAAAAACGAAAGAGAAAATAAATAGAAAGAACGAACCTGTAAATTAGGTCTCGCCATACCTTGTTAAAGCACTGGGCAATTCGACCTTGACAGGTAGTCTTAATTTATGCATTTTACTTTATACGTACACACACTGCTATGTCATTAACAGTACAGTCTCCTCTTTGCCTCTTTTTCTCTCTCTCTCTCTCTCTCTCTCTCTTTCTCCCGCAGCCAGATGCGTAGACGTACCCACAGGCGCGCGCTTTGCACGTCCCCGCTGTGTGTGCTGCGTCTACGTATGACTACGTGCGAAGCGATGTGTAACGGGAAACATAACCAATAAAATATGTACCCAAATACAATCGCTTTCTTCAAAGAGGGGAACGGAGGAGGGAGAGAGAGCCACAGAAAGAGAGTACGAACTCGTGGAGCGTGGGTATGGAGAGAGAGAGAGAAGAGACCGAGGGAATCGAAAGTCAGAGAAAGAGAAAGAGAGAACGTGTGAAACAAGAGGTATTACACACACAACACTAATCAAAACGACACACGAACGAAACTAACCAACTATATAACGGAGGAGAGCGGGGGAGAGGGCAGTCTAGTTAGTGATTTTTACATGGACGGCAAATGATTCCTCTTCGAGCTCACGCTCGTCTCTCGGCGACGATGAATTCTCGAGACTCGATCTCCGATGCAAATTCATTTAGTCGCTATTAGACACTCGCGACACGGGCAACGGACGCACGTCAACGTACGTATAGGTACTTAAAACATAGGTTTATTCCGTACGCGGAGTGTATCGGTTGGACGTAGGACGACGCCACCGGTGGCGATCCGCGTTGTCCGCCGTCGGGTCGGTCGGTCGGTCGCACACACACTGACTCCGACTGACTACGCGCACCGCACTCCCGCTCCCGCCTCTTCAGTCACCCCCGTCATCCCCCGTGCTGATTTGCATACTCCGACCCAGACGTAACGTTTCGTGGAGAAAAAAAAAAAAAGCACGAGCGAAGATGGCGTCGTGCGAGATTCGTCTATCGCGCGCATTCGCGACAACGCGAAATGACGAAACGAGCAATCCGGACGTATACTGTATACGTAGAGTAATTGTAACGAAGGAATGGAAGAGTCACGTGTGCAAAAAAAATGTTAGCGTTCGTCCGCGAGATAAAGCGTATGAGCGCGCGTTCGTTTCTTCGAATCGTTTGACGTCGCGCGGCGATGTGAGCGCACCTACGACGATTACGAATTGCGATAAAGTCAGCTGCGAGATATCGAATGCCAACCCGGCAAAATTCGAATTGTTCACGGAAAAAGAAAAACGGCTGCGACCAAAAGTGGTCCATCAATATATTTTTGGTTGTAAGAACTGTAGTATTACGATTGTGATAACCGTAAGATACCATATGTTAACGGTTGCTAAGATATGGGTCCATCTTACGGTTATCACCAAATTTGTATTAATAATGGACGGAAATTATCATTATTTCCGATTATGGCAATCGTAAGATTTTTTTCTCTTGGGTCTCTAGTTTGATTCGATCCATTATGATTACGATTGGTTTTGAAGATGTCAAATGAGGTTACTTACTGATTTATGTAAAATTTAATTATGAATTAATCAAATAAATCATTTGCCACTATTTATAATATATGACACAGTCCATTTAAAAAATAATTAGTTCGATTAGAGTGAAAGTCGACCGACAACGCTTATATGGATTTCAAAATAATTTATCCAAATATTAAAAGTCTGTTGTTTTTATACTTCTAGCATAATTTATTTTTTCTTTTTCTTCTCTAGTATAAAAATAAAAATAATGAACCGTGCAAGAATTCAATTAAAACGAACAGGCCTATTCACTTAGAAAAATAAAATTAATTATCACAATCTCTATATTAAAAAAAAATACAATTAGTTCAACTATAATGAAACTTGATTAACATATCGCTTGTGTGAGTTTCAATTAAAGTAACGTCTATCATTGTTTTAAAAAGTAAAATTAATTAATCGGTTTTTATTTAAAAAAAAAAAAGAATAGTACTATCCGATGGAATGAATTATTTGCTTTTAACAAATGATAATAGAAGAAGAAATAATATATTATACTTGTTGATATTTCCATCGCCTTATCACCGACATCACTAACATTACTGAAAAACGCTTACGATGAAGTATGAAATTACTTATGTACGATAATGAAATGAGATCGATGAAAAATGATATAGAATTAGCGATGAAAATATTGCTTTATTCAAAGCGGATGATACATTATTGATGTCGTTTAATGCTGCTCGTAAATCTGGCTGGGAGTACAAACGCGATCATGATATACGATCTGATCCTTTCTTCAAGTGATGATTGGATAACGCATAATGTAACTGTAATAAAATAACCAATAACATGATAAATAACTCATGATAATACGTCTCATGAGACGTAAAAAATGTAGAATTCTTTCAAGTAATAATAAAGCAGAAATCAAAGATAGCTGCGCTACAGAAATTAGTAATTAAGCGTATTATTGTTAAACCTACGATACATTGCCTTCCTATTCTTTCTCATGAATCCAAATCGTTAATCCGCTAACGAATGAATAAATGTCGAATAAATGAATGATTCATTTATCTGATTTTTGCGACATAAATAACCAATAAAAAATATATTGCAATACAACGTCTTTACTTGTAGATGATAGAAAAGCAATTGGATTTATTAACAACAGCAACATCCTTTTAATCATTTCGTATTATTCATGCAACTCAAAATTGTCAAAATAGCATAAATACAAACAAGTAGATAGACAAAATGTACACATAGAATATTTGTTGGGGAATCGAGCGGAGATAAAAAAGCTTACCTAAGCAACGCTTTCCTCCAACAGTAGTCCGTCTCGATAACAAGCAGCTGCAATTTCATCATATATACGGACGTGGACCAAGACATACGAACAAATCATAAACGGTTAATGATTCTCTTCTTCGTCTGCCGGCAAAAAATCTCCCTCATTTTCTAATCCTTTCTTTTCTTGCTCCTTCTCTCTCTTTTCGTGAATGGAGGCGTGCTAACCGAGTTGCGATTAGCCGTACGCGACCCAATTATCCAGGTCTGTGTTATCGATCAATTAGAACGAAGCACACGGAACGAAACAGAGCAAACTGACACATAAATGCTCCTCTTTCTCTCCTTTTTCTTGCTGGCTCGAAAAAAGAAAAACGGAAAGAAAGATACAGGTTGAAAATTTCCCTGGGAAGCGCACGAAATGACACACTGCACAGTATAGCTGAAGATGTATTAAACGCGATGATGATCGCTTATTTGGAAAGCGGTGAAAACGGAAGCGGTCGAGAGTTGCGAGATCTCAATTTCGAGGAGAACGGTTTCTGATCGTGTAGCTTGTTGTCGTTACGTGTTTCTATCTGCTGCCGTTTTCTCACACTAAACTCAGGTAATGATGAAAAAAAAAACAGCACGGAAACCCGCCCGCCTGGCTGTCCGCTTGCTACCGTAGCTGATATACGTGCTCCTCCATCCAATACGCGTCGCGACGCCAACGAAGGCGCACGCGCTTCCTCATGGATCGCTATTTCTCATGAACTAGTGTTATGACCAGTTAGCTATTAGTGACGTCAAGTAGAACAAGGGCACCGGTTTACACACGAATGTTCAGCAGCTGTATGTACAGGATTCATACCTTAAGAACAATTGGAGTATTAATTAATCTTCTTATTTACTAATCTAATAAAGATCTTTTCTTTTAGATTAAAACTATATCTTGAAAATAACATCTCCAAGACAAAACAATAAAACATCTGTACAGACACTATGTGAAACAATTAAAATGGACGTGCATGTGTGTTTCAAATACAAATAAAATTCTTATTTACAAGTAGACAAAAAATCGATTGTACAAAACGGGGATATTCCTATAAAATTTATATTATAACTAAAATATAATTACCAATATTAATTTTTATTACAACTAAATTAATAATATGTATCTATTGAAACTTTTTTTGTTAATAACATTAAAATTAAAACGTTTTACGTTTACACGTTTAATTAGCATATCCGTTTTATTAAAAAAACACACACACACATTTGTAAGAAAAAGGCTTTCTATACAAACTTTAAGCATGTTCTATAAACTAAAATGAGAAACAAAGTGTTATCTATAAATTTACATTTCAAAGTGCAATCCACTCGTGGCAATACAATTAAGCTTAACATTGATGTAACTGAATAAATTTATCACCTTTTTTACAACGACAAAAAACCTACTTGTTAGAGATTATATAATAAAGATTGTCTCTCTCTCTCTCTCTCTCTCTCTCTCTCTCTCTTTCTCTCTCTCTCTCTTTCTCTCTCTACATTCACAAAAAAGGTGATAAAGTGAAATTTACATTGACGTCAAGCTTGCATTGACATGGCTTAACAACACATTACGAAATACAACCTTAGATAAAATTGTTTCTTACATATTTCATATTTTTGTTAAAATAACTTTTTAATAAAGCATTTTAAGCATTTACCTATATTCATATAACATTTCTTCTTTATTTTGGCTCATGAAACATTCAGCTGAAGTTTATATTGAGAAATCGAAAGTCATCCTAAATCAGCTATTTTTTTTATAATTATAAAAAAGTTGACAAATAAAATAAAGAAAAAATATACAGTACTTATAATACACCTTATCTTCCTTTATGACTCGCTTGTTAACAATTGCCAACCAGTCTATCAGTCGAAGATTTTGAAGAATCTTTTCAATATTAATTGTATATGCATGATATCTAATTTTGATATTAATATTTGTAAGATTTTCTAATTTTTTGGATTAATCAGAAACTCATCAAATCTTTCTTGCATATCGTTTATCACACTCATTTTATAGCTTTCATTGATTGTAATTGGACAATAAAATTATTTATGAGCCGTATTATTCCAATAACGAGTGTCGAATAATGATCGATCTCACACGATAAAATATTGTCGTGATTTGACTATCACACACAGATTCAAAACTCTCCTATAAATAAATCTTTATATTGAAACAATAATCTCTTATATGATTATACGTTTTATAAATATAAATCTCGCAGCAGTGTTATTGCTGCTTTAATATCAAAAATTGCGCGAATATGTCCTTAACCTATACTAACCTATCATATACGAGTTGTGTGTATCACAGATTTGTACATATATACAGATATATATGTACATATATACAGTACATACATATTATGCATGCTTTCTCAATACTAAACATAGAAAAAGAGAGAAGAAAAAGTACCGAAGTAAACAAACTGAAAGAGAATACCTATATCGATAAAACTCGATCGTGATTTCTCGACAAAATCGATTGGTTTTCTATTTACGCTACCAACAGATGAAAACTTATCATTGAGATCATTTAGTTCGCAGTGGTTCGCAGCTAGTTCGCAGCAGCATGAGGAGACACGGTAGTGTTTTCCTTCTCCTTTTTACTTCTTTCTTGATTCTTTGTAATTTGAAAAATATTTCGGAGTTGTGCATTGCAAAAGGAGATCGCCGAGTGCGGATTTGTAATTTTTGAAAATTCTGACAAAAGTAATTCTCTTTTTTTCTTCACTTTTAATAAGTATTTAACAAATATTTTAACAAATATTAATCGGACTATTGGTTATTACCGACCGAATTAAACTTGAATTGAGGATTGAGAGTCATGTGTGTAACCTAAAGTCCAAATTGATGCAGATTGGAACAATGTAAAGATGGACGATATTTTGAAGAATGTAATTTAATTATGGAGTATTTTACCGAAATAATTTTACTTGGAGTTGACACGATCGTATTCACTATCTGCTTGAAACAGTATATTCATTACAAAAATGCGATTAAAGCGGTTAAGGTAGACTATATCAATTCGCTATTAAAACATATTAATTTAAAACGTATTAATAATTAGAACATTTTAAAATATTAAAGGCAATTTAAAAACTTGTATTTTTTATAGAATGTTGAGCTACACGACGTTGGGCCAGATTTGGAAAATCTACTGGATAAGAGCCTGAATAACAAAGTAGATTATATCGCTGTCAGAGGGATCGTGAAACCATTAAAAGAATCATTACTAAGTGTTAATAAAAAAGATGTCACTGGAGTTATACAGAAGCTTAGTGTCAGAGAACATGTTGTCGCAAGAACGTCAGCTGGTTATTGGTAGATTATTGATTATTGTAACTTTATGATCAATTCTGTACTGATTGTAATATAAAAAGATATCAATAATCTTGATATTTTTTTTTCTAATTATCTAGTTTGTAATTCCATAGGTCTGACCAAGAACGAACAATTCATCAAGTATATCATATGGTACCATTTGTTTTGCAAAATAGATGGTACCGTGTTGAGATAACAGATCCATTGTCAGCCGATATTTTAAACTTGGATGTAATCTCTGATAATTTTCAACCTAGTGTACCTACAATTTTAGATCACATATGGGGATTTTTTATAGGTAATTATAATAAAATTTGTAATCTGATTAGTTTTTATTTTTATTACATAATATAATAATCATTTTATGTACAAAATATGTATACATATGTTGTACATGATAAAAATTTTATTTGAATTTATCATATGATTTATTAGGAGTACGCCAACGAGGTATACAGTCTACAGAAAAAATGTTGCGTGAAGATTCAATTATTACAGCAATAGGTGAGCTCTCGAGGTCAAAAACTGAATCCAATTATCTTATTTTGCAACCTCCATTAAACAGATGTCCTTTTTATATAACAAGCATGTCAATTACTTCTTTGATGCGGAAATTAGATGATCATAAGAAAATATACAGGCATGTACATTTTAGTGTATTGGAATATTATACAAAATAATTGGAATATATTATTTATTATATTATTAAGTCTACATTTATATAATCTTCTGAAACACACAGGCTATTTTGTTTGATGAGTGGCACAATTGGATTAGTACTCGGAGGAATTATGGTAAGACGATATTGGAAGAATAAACAGCAGCAAAGATTAGCAGATCAGTTACGTCAATCGCTTGAAACATCTCGTCAAGAAAGACGTCAAAGAGTCAGGGATAGAGATCTTAGAGAGGATCAAATATGTGTAGTTTGTAGAATAAACGCACGTGAAATTATTTTATTACCTTGTGGCCATGTATGCATATGTGAAGATTGCTCAGTTAGCATCAATAACAATTGTCCTGTTTGCAGAACACAAATTACTCAAAGAGCGGCTGCATATATAGTATAAATTTCATTATGTATGAATACCACTTTTATATAGCAAAAATATTTTTATTGTTTTAGAAAAGTGTGAAAATGATGATTGATTAAAATATTATTCCATACGATCCTATCTCCTTTACATGATACATGTGTGTACAGTTTTGTTATTTACAAATGAAATTTACTAATTTACAAAAACAATATATAAGTATATTAATTATAATAATTATAAAAAATACCAAACTATTTTCTGATTATATTATTTTTAATATGTAATATGTTTATTAATAATTCTTGGATATACACATATACAAGTTATTTTTTGTTATTAATGCTATTTTAAAGCTATATATTTATAACTTTTATATTTAAAAATATATTTATAGTTACAAAATAGGCTCCTTAATCTTTAAACGAAAAGATAATAAAATAGTTTTTTTTTTAAATAATTGAAAATACATATGTGTAAAAAATTGGTTTTTGTAAAAATATTTGAAGTGCACATGTTATATATTTAGACAGTTACACATTTAATTACATAAGAATCTTAAAGTTCTATATTTTGCAGTTTGTTTTTTTTATCCACATGTAAGTTCATTATCTTTTTGGCTTTGTTAGATTTACCAATACCGAGTTTCGGCAGTCCTCTATTCAAACCTTCCAACAAAATACATGCTTTACATATTTCTTGACTTGAGACAAATCCACATAGAGTACAATTTCTTCTCTCTGGCATTTTTACATTATCTTTCACTTGTAACTGCTCACCTAGTAAATAATAATAATTATTTTACTCATTTGAAAACGACTCATTCATTTTTCATGAATTTTGACAAGAATACTCCAAATGATTTCAACGAATAACCCTTAAATGGATTTCTATCTTTTACTAATAAAATTTAATGCTAAAAATGTTAAAATAAAATTATAGAAGATAGGATATTATAATATAAGACATATTAGCTATGTTCTATAAAATTTACTTTTAAAAGTAACTTGTTACCATTTCACAAATATAACGCAAAATGGTGACAAGTTACTTTTGAAAGTAAATTTTTCTAATCTTAATGCCACTTTAACGTTTAGCTAATTATTATTATAGTCATAAAATATTGGAAAGTCATCAAATTGTTATGATATATTATGCATTTTATAGAACATAGCTAATATGTCTTATATTATAATATCCTATCTTTTATAATTCTATTTTAACATTTTTGGCATTAAATTTTATTAGTAAAAGATAGAAATCCATTTAAGGGTTATTCGTTGAAATCATTTGGAGTATTCCTGCCAAAATTCATGATAAATGGATGAGTCGTTTTCAGATAGTTTGTTACTTATAACACATTGATATGTTACTTTATTCATTACAATGAATAAAAGAAACTCGTTATAAATATATTAAATTATTTTATTTCTATCGATAACAATCCATTTCAAGATAATTTACACTATTTCAAGTATTTTTATCAAAATTCATTGAAATTGGTTGGATTATTTTCAGAAGTTATTCATAATTTTTATAATTTTCAGGTTACATGACAGATAAATATTGATAATGTAATAGAAAATTAACAAAAATATATTCTTACCTGAATATATTATGTCTATGATAGATGATGGTCTTATTTTCTCTAAATCCTTCAGAAAGGCTCTTGCATGACCTCTATAAGCATTTGGAGCATATATACATTCTGTAGAGAAGTATACTAGATTTTTAAAATATGCATACATAACAATCTCTTTTTCATATGCATATTTCAGAGGTTTACACCGCATGATAGAATCTGCACCAGTCTGTATTACATAAAAATATAAATATCAAAAATTTTAAACTTTATATACATTTTATATATAATAACATTCTTACAGTGATTACAGATGTACATCTCTGCAGTCGAGCAATATCACCCCTCAAGATATTCATTAGTACTGTTTCAGCTATATCATCTGCATTATGACCTGTTGCGATGCAATCTACCTTTAAAATTGCAGCCCCTCTGTCCAATGCCTGTCTTCGGAAAACACCACAAAATGTGCAATTATTCTTACGGCCGATCTAAAAAAAATACACTTTGTTACACAAGTGTTTGAAGTTATCAAAAAATATGGTTAGGTCTCATATCAACTTGATATAGAATAAGATAGACTGTATATTTTTAAGTAAAACATTTAGTTGACAGATTCATAAACTATCAGATTTAGGTAAGTACTGGATTAAAGACAAGTTCTTAATAAGTTTTAGCTGTTAATAATTTAAATTTTTGATACAATTTACCTCTGTAACTATAGAATCCATTGTCCATCCATATAATTCCTTGTATGATAAGATTTTAAGAGGAATACCATAATCATCTTTATTTTGTGTCACAGTTTTTAAGCTATCATCTCTGTAGCCTAAAGAGATACATTTTAAAAGGAAATTATATTTTTTATATATAATATAAAGTTTTAATAATGTTATTTTTATAGTTGTATTACCAGTAATTCCTTCATCAATGGATAAAAGAAACAGGTCCAATCCATACTTATATCTTTCATTCAAAGTTTTTAAAACATATGCTAGTACAGTGGAATCCTTTCCACCTGATGCTCCAATGGCAACCTTATCACCAGATTTGAATAATTTACCATTGATAATAGTATCGTGAATCTCGGTCTCAAATGCCAAGAAAAAACATTCTTTACATAATGTATCGCCAGTTTTTGGCCTCTAAAAAGGCATACACATTTTTTTAATTTAATAATACAATAATATATCAATTCCTAATGTAGTATATAAAACTAGAAAAATAATTTACCTTCAAAATAGCATTTCTTCCACATTTTGTGGAACATAGTGGAGATGGAGGCATTGTGATTATTTTTCTTAGACTATCAATAAATCTTGTTACATGAGAATTTCTTTAATAACACAAGATGCAAAAACAAACACGTGTTTTATACATACAGATCTTCACACAACTAAAGTTATATATGGCAATTACGCAAGTATAAAATTATAATATAGTCACAAGTAATATTGATCTAATGACACTCACTTAGGTTCATTAATTTTCCCCTTGAAAAGGAAATGAAATTTTATACAAAATGAAAATTATTTATATTTTCGAGAATTAAAAAGAGTTTCTATCACACAAAAAAAATGTTCGAACAAGAACGCGATTTAATCCTCTGGCTTCTCAGGCGGTGGTCCACAGGGTTGCAGCATCTTCTCCATAAGATTGAATCTAACACGTGCCTTGGCTTCGTTCTCGGCAATCGCAAAGAAATTTAGCAAATCGTAGTGGCCCATATAAGAACTGCAGGAATCCCTGTGCTGATTCACTAACCATTCGAACTTGGTTGTGTCTGCATGTCCCGTACCAATGTACTTAGATTGTAGATGCTCCAACTGACTATGGATGTTGTAACGTTCACCCATTCTTTCAATTTAAAACAAATTTCCTCGTGCGATCTCGTTTTTTCTATATTAATATTGAATAATCACGAGATATCATCTACAGTTCTCTATCTTTTCGTTTAACAGGTTATGTTTTCTTAATATCCGATATACAATGGTCACATTTAGGGCCTCTTTCACCAACGCCGATTAACTTAATCGACGATTAGTCCATTGGAATTGACCAATCGCGTCTGTTGTCAAAACTAAATGATAAATGCGATTGGTCAATTCCAATGGACTAATCGTCGATTAAGTTAATCCACAGTATAACCTACTGTGATTAATCGGCGTTAGTAAGCCCGGATCTACAATAGAGTTTTAAACCTTAAAGCGGGGAGCACAGACTTTTGCATAACGCATAAACCATATACATAAAGAATTTGATTGGTCCATTGACTCATGCATAAGAAAATGGACCAATGAAATTCCTTATGCACATGCTTTATGCGTTATGCAAAAGTCTGTGCTCCCCGCTTAAGCCATAAGGAATGGACGAATCATATGGTCTGTTTTCTGTGACTGAACTAGTACTTTTAGAACTTAAAGTAAGATAGGTATATGTTTGATATTTGTAGAAAGCGCGAAAGAAAGTTCTAGTTCAGTCTAGTGCAGGAACAGGAAACAGACCAATAGTCGATTATTCTCCTCGAATTCGACTGTAATTATGGTTAATTTCTTAAGCGGGGAGCACAGATTTTTGCATAACGCATAAACCATATACATAAAGAATTTGATTGGTCTATTGACTCATGCATAAGAAAATGTGACAGCCAATCTCAAGCTTGCATTTTGAAATCAACGCTTCAGATTAGCTGTCACAACAAACTTGCGATCGGCTTGCAACTAATGTAGAACCGACTTAATGCGTCATAAGATAGTAATAAGTCGGTAGTCCGTGACCGAGTGGAGATGGCCAAATTCCATCTCTTCTGAGGGAGCTGTCCCATGATACGGAAATTACACCGGAACGGAACAGTGAGACCAATCACAATCGCAGAAAGGAAAGTAGAGTAATGATTGCAGAGATCTGATTGGTCTCACTGTTCCGTTCCGGTGTAATTTCCGTATCATGGGACAGCACCCTGACTTACAGCTTATGATTACGTTATGACTGACCAATCAAAAAACAGTATGTGTCTGCCATTTCTTACGAGAAAACTGATTTCGTATAACCTAAAAACTGAATCGAGAATATTTTGATCGAAGTGATTTATATCGTATTAAAAATGGAATATGAATGTATACAAAAAATTTATGACATGGAACTCATCAAACTTGTCGAATTTAATTGTTGAATCTAATTGCTGAACTGTTATGATGCAACGATCTAATCGTGCATGTATGTATGACGTCACTAGCCAGTATCCAGTCATTTGAGAACGCTTCTTCAGTGCAGTATCCAGCAAAATGGCGGCCACTAGCTACTGCACTGAAACGAAATGAATGGGAATGCACCCTCGGTTTACGTCGCACGGCCATTACCTGACGTGAACCGAGAACGTTGACATTGGTCAATAACCAAAAAATTTCAATTTACATTATTTATTCGTACCCATATATTGTTAAATAATGTGCACAAGCTTTTTTCATTCGTTTCAAGAGATAGATATAGATCACACTCCGTGAAATTATCTGCCGCAGCCATTTTTGTACATCATATCCGTTACGCTTAAGACATTACATTCCCCTTACCCTTTGTGCCTTATCCCGGTGGCGCTATGCTCCGTCCAGGTATTTCATACGTGGTACATACAAATGAGCTATAGCAGCTAGAAAGAAAGTGAGAAAGAGGAAACCAACGACATATATACATAGACCTAGAGTCCTAGATATCAGAGAAGCGCAACCGATGTTCCGCGTCCTGATTAGCTGACTGTCAGCCAATCATGACATTTATTCAGTGGTATTAAAAATGGCTGACTAATAGACGATTGGTGGATTTCATATTTCGTCTGCAAACGACGCCATTTTTAATACTTTTCTTAGTAATTTTGCGATACTGACTTAAGCCGGTTGCGCTTCTCTGATATCTAGTGCTGGATTCACACTACATCCGATTTTCGTCGTACGATGACTCTGCAACCAATCAGAAAACAAAATTTTGCTTCGTATCGATGTTACGATTTTTCTGAATGGTTGCAGAGTCGTCGTACGACGAAAATTGGATGCAGTGTGAATCCAGCATAGGACTCTACATAGACCGAGCATTCCCTCTCAGAGTGCAAACCCATGCAGCGGAATAGCGTAAAGCGGGGAGCACAGACTTTTGCATAACGCATAAACCATATACATAAAGAATTTGATTGGTCCATTGACTCATGCATAAGAAAATGGGCCAATGAAATTCCTTATGCACATGCTTTATGCGTTATGCAAAAGTCTGTGCTCCCCGCTTAACGCGGAACGAGAGCGGAACCAATCACGAGCGTTCCGCAGTTTTCATTACGCGGTTTCAAATCCCTTGATCTTCATAGAGCGCAATGAGCATAAGCAGAATTACCAGCAAGTTCGTAAATGACGTTTAAATATTGTATTTATCATTCATTTTTTATTATCAAGTATCTAAATACAGAATTAAATGCATTTCTCAATGAAAAAAATATTTAAAGATGTTAAAATTTATGAAATTAGTTTTAATGTGATTTGTAACCTTTATGAAATAACGATTTATGATTGGTTGCGCAAAGTCTGCGTTGCGCTTATTACGCTATACATGGGTATTAAGGGTTCACGTTTCAACGTAACAAAACTGGCGGAATAACAACGTGGTGAGTTCTGAAGAACCACTCGACCGTAACGGACACGTTTCGAATCGTAAATTTTTGGAAAAGCGTTGCCGGCTTTGACTGAGCACCCTAAATTGACCTGGCCGTATCGACCTCCTATTTCATTATTTGGAGACGAGAGCCATTAATTAATTAAGAAGAAGAACGTGGTGAGTACAGAGATAAATTATTAGTTATTACTCACTATTAATGACAGATTTCCTAACTTACATAGTCGTCGACTTTAACGTTATACATCTTGGTTCGTAGGGCCGATCGACGCTTATTTTTGTCAAAGGCAAGTCGCGTCGTATGAACAGCTGGAAGGAAACGAGTACAGAATAAATCATGCGATTGCTGTAAAGCAATATTCGAGATCTTTTGCAGATCAGGAAGAACCGATGCCCCATGAATTAAGACCTGTAAAATCTTTGAAGATGATCTTCACGAATTGATGGATCTTTGTGAGCAGGAAGGCACAAATCTAGCCGAATGGTATCACTTTCAGTTCGCAAAAGCTATTCCGCTAAAGGGATTCAAAATCGCGTAATGAAAACTGCGGAACGCTCGTGATTGGTTCCGCTCTCGTTCCGCGTTCCGCTATTCCGCTGCATGGGTTTGCACCCTGATGAGGGGTTGCAAAATTTGGAAACAGATCTAACGGAACGATTCTGTGATTGGAAGTTTAGATGGCGTTACTGAGCAACTTACCGATTTCGCGCATGCGCCAACATTTTTGCGAACACTGATATCTAAAGTGCCGACAGAGAGTTGCCCTACTATATATATTGTGATCGAGGGCTGCAAGCGGGTTGGAAATCGTATCACTGATTCTCATCGACCTTTCGTCCATTGGTTTCGGCCCTGATGCGAATATCACCGAGGTTCGCCGTGACGTTGCAGGACATACATCGCACGTAAGTACGATTGTGAATCCGTTGTCGCGTTATTTCCCCGATGTTTCTTCTCATAGCCCTCGGATTTTCGCTCGGCAAATGAAACTGGGCGAGTCCGTGCCATGTAAGAGTAAGCGGCCGTGCTAGTTCGTGATACTCGTGGTGCTCGCTTACATCTCACTCTCCTTTAATCGTGTCTGCTCGCTCATTGTTATTTCGCGTCCGAGTTAAATTTGAGTGAATACAACATGGCTTATTAGCATAACGCAACCGTTCGCTCGCAAAGTAATCGCGTCGTTCGTACGATTTCGCTGTACATGTACGTGCGTACCGTTGATGTGTGCGTGTGTGTGTTTGTGTGCATGCGTGAATACGTGTGCACATATGTGTATTATGGTTGTGATCGCGCGTGAGTGTCATACATGTCCATGACGATTGGCCTCGAGATCTACCGAGAGTCCCGAGACACTGTGGAGGCACGTTCAAGCAATAGCGTTATTTCCGTTATTTGCGATCGTTTCCGTCGATGTCAGGGTGAGCCAGGAAGAAAAGCCTCACGCTCGATCCTGTTGATATTTTCCTTACTCCTATCCTCAGCGATGGCTCATAACAATACATTGCAATGTGAAATTACTTTTATATAGTTAGAGATGGTACAGCATATTACATGCATTTTTTTACCAAAATAAAATGAATGCGTATGTGTATATATATATATATATATATATTTGTATCAGTATTTTACCAAAACAGTTGTGGAAATTTTATAAATTTATTAATAATTGTTATGTATACATGTGTGCGTGCGTTTGAAGAATGCGGTCTAAGATATTATAAATATATAAACAGGATTTTACTGTTATTTTCCTATGAAATTTTATTTTTACCATTAAGTATGTACAATAAAAACATGCTTTTATAATTAACATTTAATTAATATATATGTATATAATAAATTTTTACACACCACACACACACGTATATAAAATTTTATTGGATCATTGCTTTATTTTTAGGAGGTGACATGCCTAGCACTCGTGATATCGAACGGGCAAAACGTAATGGGAGAATTCAATCACAAAGAGGTAGTACAAGCAGCGAAGTGAATCGCCATAACTTTGATGGTATTGATAAGCGACACAGGAGACATGGCAAAAAGAGTTCTGGGAAAAAAAAGAAGAAACGTTCGCGAGATAAATCATTAGAGACAATTCCAACCGTAGCTTCATCTGTTGTAAAACCATTGGTCGAGTATTCCGATGTAAGTAGCGAAGATCTTTCAGAGCCTGAAGCAGGAGAGATCCAATCGGAAGATAGTCGTGCCAACAGTTACACGGATGGAGAAGTACCTGATTCATTTCTTCAAAGACGATATTATGGCAGTAGCCCAATTCGTACTCTCGGAGTATCGCCTATCAGCGTATCTCCAACACCGTCGGTTCAGCATCGACATTCCAGTAGACGATACTCTTTGTCGAACGAGCAACAACAACCGACAACGATGCACGGTGCGACACCAGAATACGAAGAAGAATCGAGGCGATATGCCCGACGAAAAGAAAAGAAACATAAACGCGAGAAGAAGAAGAAAAGGAGTCTGAGCCCTTTGTCAAATTCGGGGAAAAAGAAGAAGAGAAAATCGAAGAGATATTCTCATAGCTTAAGCCCGCATCGCGTTGCCGAGGAAAACTGCCCAAGTCCAAATCGTGACAAACAATCGTCGATTATCGGTTCTGTTAATTGGTCTGAATCACCACCATTACCACTCAAGGACAACATGTCGCCTATTTCACCAGCTACGCCGCGTGAACAGAGATATCCTAGTGACGAGGTGGAACTGGAAATGTCAAGGCAGACATCTCGCAATATTACACCGCCGTCTCTTATGTCAACGCGGCAGATAGAATCTCCCCATACACCATTAATGCCTCCATGCGCCACGACGCCAGAGAATTTGAATAAAGCCGGACCTATCGTCGTGTCAAAGCACAGCAGCCCTGATCGGCAGAAACTTAGTCCCAGTATGCACATGACGCGTCGAACCAGCGTTAGTCCTGGACCCATCGTTGTAAATCGTAGAAAGCCATATAGCCCGAGTCCACCGTCAAGACGAAGGGATAACAATCCACGAAGAAGAGACTTTAGTACTCCAGTACTCCATAAACGTAAATACAGCCCAAGTCCGGCTACTGTCAAACGACGAACGGATAGAAATATTTCCCCCAAACGTAGAAGACGAGACGAATCCGATCAACGTAGCCATCGGCTTCATGATGACAGAAGAGGCAAGCGGAAATCGAGATCAACAAGGAGTCCTACTGGAAGCAGGTACATTGACAAAAGTTACTCTTTTCTATCATATTGAGATGTGTAATGTTACAATAAATTAATTTATCACGTCACGCATAATGATTTCTTAAAATTTTAGATTACAATCGCCTTTGTCTCGATCGCGATCGCGCAGTCCAGGAAGATGGCGGAAACTGTCTCGCTCGAGGTCACGTTCGCGTCCCAGAAGAAGTCGCACCCCGAAGAGATCGCGCTCACCCAGCAAGTCTTGCAAGACTTCGAGAAAACTCAAATCAAAGAGCCCACGTCCTAGAATACCTTCTCCTTCTCCTCGAGCTAGAAGTCCGTTGAGCATCACAGCTCGAAATCTTCGAGGACAAGAGAAAATTAGCGTGACCAGTCTGTTTGCAGAACTCGTTAAGGACCGTAATATGAGAGAATTGGCATTCAAGAAGTTGCAGGCCGCAAAGGAAAAGATCGGGAACCAAGATGATGTGCAAATCATAGAAAGTACTGACGAGAAGGACGGCGATGGCGGTAACGCATCCTCCGAAAATAAAGCTTCCACTGACAATAAAGACAGACCTATAAATCACAAAGACCAACATATAAAGGCTGGCGATAATGTGGTCGACGTCACCGATATTCCTGTTCCGACGAGCGACGATAACACTATAGCATGCAAAACGCCGCCATTGCCATCAACTGGTCAACCATCTAATGTACCACTACCTAATCCGATATCTACTGCGATGAATCCGCTTACTTCTCACACCATTGTTCATACTTCGCCCAACCCACCATCGGTGATGCCCAACAATTGTCCGATGGTCTTGTCACACAGTCCGAATTTCCCGGCTCCCGCTCCTGGAGTGCAACCACCACCGCCACCGCCACCACCACCGCTACCACTGCCGCAATCTGTCGAACCTACATCGACAGTCTTGGTTGGCGGGCAAGTTCCTGCTCATATGCCCATGTCAGTGCCGCCAATTCCGATTCTGCCCAACATGTCTGTCCCACCACCACCCATTCCACCTATTCCCGTTCCAGCACCCAATACAATCATGTCAAAATTTAACCCACCCAATAATCTTGTACCACTTAAATCTGTGGATCCTCCTAAACCTCCCATAGTAACATTCACGACCAAAAGCCTAAAGAGATTACCGTTGCCACCTGGCATTAATCAGAATGATTTGGAAAGCATAGATTCCCCACCGAGCCGTTCCCCGAGCCCTCCTAGCAAAGCGCAGTCGAAGTTTTCGGCATCAACGAAACCAATGCAGAAAAAGAGCATCAAGGATCTGCCAATGCCACCGGGTGAGTTTTTGAATGAACTTTGAATCATTATTGTTTAATGGCGATATTTTAACTTATCATTATCTTATCACTTGAACTATAGTTGTACCTGGATCGGAAGATTTGAGCGGCGAGGATGATCCAAATGCAACGCCGCCACGTTTGAAAATCGAACGAGTGGCACCGAAGCCAAAATTGAAAAGACCAAAAATATTGAAACGCAGAGGATCGCGAAACTGTCATGCTCCCATGTCGGCTTCTGGCGGCAAAGATTGGGGTGAACGATGTGTCGACGTATTCGAATTTATTACTCAGATCGGCGAGGGCACATACGGACAAGTGTATAAAGCACGAGATAAACGATCCAGCGTAATGGTAGCTTTGAAAAAAGTCCGACTTGAAAATGAGAAGGAAGGCTTTCCTATCACGGCGGTCAGAGAAATAAAAATCCTGCGACAACTCAATCATAAAAACATTGTTAACCTTAGAGAAATTGTTACTGACAAGCAAGATGCACTAGATTTCCGAAAGGTACCTTTTTAGTTATATTGTAGCTATATGCAATCTACAGTGTTCTATATTACAATATATTTGTCGGTGCTTTATTAATAGTATTATATATGTAGAGTAATTCACTATTACATTGAAAAGATATCGCTATCATATATAAAAAGAAGAAGCAAATTTTCTATTATACTTGTACATTAAGAATCAATATGCTAATTTAATTATCTTCTACGCTTTATTTCTCAATTATTTAAGATACTGACAAACATATTCAGTTGTTAAGAAGTATATAATAATTGTACGATCTCTAATTTTTACAGAATCAATTAATTGTGTCATCTTGTATGCTTTAGGATAAAGGTTCCTTTTATTTAGTTTTTGAATATATGGACCATGATTTGATGGGTCTATTAGAATCTGGCATGGTGGATTTCAACGAAATGAATAATGCCAGTATCATGAAGCAGTTATTGGACGGCTTGAATTATTGTCACAGCAAAAATTTTCTTCATCGGGATATTAAATGTTCAAATATACTGATGAACAACAAGTACATATACTTCATTTATTGAGTAATTTGTTTTTTGCAATTTTACTCAGTATAATATAATGTGTAATTTTAATAGGGGCGAAGTTAAACTAGCCGACTTTGGATTAGCACGACTTTATAATGCAGAGGATAGACAAAGACCGTACACTAATAAAGTGATCACTCTGTGGTATAGACCTCCTGAACTTTTACTAGGAGAAGAGCGTTATGGACCTGCAATTGATGTCTGGAGTTGTGGATGTATCTTAGGAGAATTATTTTCTAAAAAACCTTTATTTCAGGTAATAACTATTTCTCAAGCTAAAAAACATCAATATTAATTTATCATTAATAATAAGGGTAATTTTTTATTTATTAGGCCAATGTAGATATGATGCAGCTAGAAATGATTTCAAGGGTTTGTGGAACGCCCACTCCTGCTGTTTGGCCTTCTGTGATAAAATTACCACATTGGCATACACTTAAGCCAAAAAAGCAACATAGGAGACGTCTCAGAGAGGATTTCGCTTTTATACCAGGAGCAGCCTTGGATCTCCTGGATAAAATGTTGGAATTGGATCCAGAGAAGCGGATAACAGCAGCCGATGCGCTTAAAAGTGCTTGGTTGAAAAATGTTCAGCCCGAACAGTATGTTATTCTTTTGCGTCGGTTTTTCGTGTGTATTGGAATATGTATGTTTCTTTGTTCGAATCTTATGATATACATTACACTTTCACAATATATCAGGATGCCAGCGCCACAGCTTCCAACTTGGCAAGATTGTCATGAACTCTGGAGTAAAAAGCGAAAGCGCTTGTTGCGGGAACAGCAAGAGAGTGCTGCAACAAAATTGCCTCCTCTCCTTCCCTTCTCGAATAAAGGAGGTCCTAACAAGGATGATCTGTCAGATGTCGGGGGGTGAGTAAAGGCGTAAAGAGAAATCTAATTTACGGACTGCTAAGACGTATATCTTAATGCCAATTGAAAACTAATTTGCTTAGACATTTAGATGGCTGTGTACGACAGTTGTGTTTGGCATTTATTTTCTTTAGCAAAGTGCATTGTTTAAATAACGAGAATTTCTTGAAAGAAGTGACATCGAAAAGAAAATGTAGTATTTCTATGTGTTCCTTCCGATTCTCGTTTGCATGCCAACCTTTCTTCCTTTCATCTAATGAATCAACGAGTTAATTTTAGTTTCGTTCACAGTCGTTCGAACACGACGATGGCAATAATGCAGAACAATGGAAAATAGAAGCACGAAACATCCTTCTCTGTTTGTGGCTTCGCTCTACAGAGATTGTTTACTTTTAAACGATTGATTTGATAGACTGTATGAGATATACTTAACATGTATTTTTCAGGGCATACGCTACATGCCTCGGCGATAATATATTTTACCATTATGAGATATATATTATATTATTTAACTCTTTGGCTGCATCATGTAAAACTTTTTTAAATTAGAAATAAATGAAAAAAGTACGAGATAGTACGAGAGCTCAATTTTATTATTTTTATATTAATTGATTAAAATAAAAGAATGATGTAACATAAATTTATACTGAATATATATAGTTCCCCCTATAGTCCTTTCTTTCATTAAAAAGTTTTTGATTTGAATTATTTTATGATATGTGTGTTTAAGTTATGTGTTAAAAATATATACAACATTTGCAGCTAAAGGGTTAATTATCGTCCCACTATTCATATCGAATCATTTATAAAGATAATAATGAAATGATTTTTATGATAACTATATTATTATAATCCTGTATATAAATGCCTAAATAATCGCCACTTATAACGTACAAACTTCTATACAAGAAGGTATATGTCCTAATAATTACTGTGATTCAGTCTACCATTTGTTTTTAAGGACGATTGTAAAAATTAAATTATCGGTTTATTCAGTTTCTATCTAGATATGTGTATATATCTTGTCAATAATATTGACAAGGGAAACATACATGTGAATACATTAGTGTGAGCGCATGCATTATATTTTTTTATGATGTACATACATGTGAATACATGTATGTACATCATAAAAAAATATAATGCATGCGCTCACACTAATATATACCGAAATGAGAAACATTTTTGCGCATATGCATACTGATTTAGATTCTTTTAGAGATTGATTTAAAATATCTCTATATAAATATATATTTGTATTTATATTTAAACACAAATGGAAAAATTATGATTGAAAGAAATGATTGTAAATAAATATAGAGGTCACGTCAAAGTGATTTCACTTTGTTGTTTTTTCGTTAAAAGATTCTTCAGTTTAGGTACCTATAAGTAAAGCGTAAAACAACAACATGTATAAATAGACGAATTCTGGGCTGTTAAGCTCTACAATATAAATATATGGACAAGATGTACAAAGGATGCTTCATCAGAAGACTGAAGAAGGCGAATACGGGAGGATCAAGATTAAAATCATTAATTCTGTTAATTTTATTTATAATTAATTTGATTTATTCAACATTCACATTTTTGGCATATATTTATGCTTTAATCATTCTCTAGCCATCCTTCATATTACAATTTAATGATTCATATTATAGATCTGATGTTTTTCGTAATGTACGAATGGCGAATCATTGTGTATTTATTTAGTATTTACATTATTTGTTTTTTGCATGTGCGTTACATTAACTGACACTATCTTTATGATGAAATTCAGTCTTCAGTTGTTTTCGAACATAATGTCATGCAATGTAAAATAATATTCGAATGCTGCAATATACTTAAGCGTACTCAGAGACATTCACTTAAAATATCTTTATGAGCGGTGAATGGATCTTTAACGCTTTCAAAACATTATTTTTACAATTTTTAGGTTCTAGCATTTTTTTAATTTTATGGTTATATATACATTATGTATTAGTATCTCTCCAAAAAGGTCTAACAAGCAGCACTCGACAATTATGGAAAATACTTATTTACCACCGTTCACTAATTCAATATATGTAAAATAATCATAAAATATATGTTACTGTTTCTACTTATTCCACAACTATTTTGACACGTATAACTTTTTTCGTTATTTATTTTTAGAAATAAATGCAGGAAAATTGGGTGTTTCATTTCTTTAATATATAATTGTTCGAATAATGTTTTTGGTAGTAAATCAAGTACAATATCAGGAGTATAAATGTGAGAGTGGTATAGAATGAGAATATTAAAATGTTTATTACATATAATATTAGTAATGAAATTACAAATTACTTTTAATAAATAGAATTTTTTTTAATCAAACAGATTGTATAATTTATATGTATTTATGATGTACTATTAAATACATGTACATATACTGCACATTCTCTTATATATATATATGTATATATATAGCACATACACACACACACACACATATAGATACATACATGAATATGTGTGTGTTTGTGTGTGTGTGTGTGTGTGTGTGCATTTCTCTATATAATAATAGAAATTGTATTCAAATTTTTTTATTGTAAAGAATATGTTCTATTACACTCATGGTGCACTTAATATGTCATTTTATCCTCAATATTATCTGAATATTAAAGAAAAATAAAATAATACGTTATGCTCATCATGCATGAAACGGAATGCATCCAAAAATATCACATACATATATATAAAAGCGTATATGCTATATTATTTTATATATTATATAATATATATATATATAATAATATGTATAAAATAAGCACATACAAAAAACAACGATTTAACAAAATCGTTTTAAATACCAAAGTTTATGATATCTCCTGATTCATCTTTTATTTATATATTATATACATATATCTGTATGCGTGTGTATAGATTCACACGTGTATGCATGTATGTATCTATATGTGTGTATATATTTATTTGACTATATTAAAATTAATTGTTCAACATAAATCCTTCCTCGTGTTAAAAAATAGAAAAGCATACATGTATTTGTCCTTTGAATTGAAAAACAATAAAATCATGATCTTCACAATCATAATTTGCACAGTCTTTAATGGACCAGTAGATTACAGCATAACTAGACAATTTTCATATTATTTTATATTCCAAAAATGTTTCGATAAGTAAGAAAAGAAACATTTGATCTTTTATATTATAATATATATTCTGTGCAAAAATGTATAATGTAAGAAATGCAGATAAAGATATATTAATAAAAGTGTTTGTATATGTAACAAATACATTTATAAATAATGATGTAAAATGTTTTGGAAAATATAATGTTTTAAAACATGTCACATATTTTTACATATAACTTTTATTTAAGAATTTACAATAAGTGTAAAATCTAATAATATGATAATTTATTGTATATATTTGTTCGATAATTTATTTATATTGGTAATACATAATCGAATATTACGCTTATTGTATGAAAAAATGGCTATATTATTCAAATTGTAACATTCGATATTAATAAGATTCTCTTTCTCTTTTTTAAATAATATAATCTTCCAAAAATTTGTTTTTATACGAATGTATTTAAAAAAATTATATCAATATTTACATCTTTATTCATATTGTTATAATCAATGTTGTTTCATTATTAGTACGTAAAATACAGTTATCACTTGTGAATATTATACAAGATAAAGCCTTAGAATAATGTTGTAAAACTCTAAGAGAATATAAAGTATAATTAGAATACTTTATAAATGAGTTTATATATAATATATAAACTTATGTAACTTAAATACATATATATATTTTTTAATACATGTACACTGCATATATATAGAAACATTTTTTTTTATTCAAATATATAGTAATTGTTTCATATAGACATGACGTTAGTATAACTGTATCACATGTTACTCTGTATTGTGGAATATGTAAAAACTGACATATATGATTTTAGATAAATTATAGATAAAATAATTGGCACAACGTCTAATAGGAAAAAATTATGTTTCAGGAGATAATATAATTATGGCTGAATTATAAAACGGACAATTTTTGTAACACTTGTAAGAATATACATATAATAGGTAATGAAAGCTTCAAATCTTAATACGTGTTCACGTCCAGTGTGTCCAATTTTTTACTCATATTTATTAAGTGCGTGAATCATATAATCCATTCGCTTGAGCTAACCAAATGATGATTGAAGTGTATAGCGGTATAATCGTTGTACAATATTGTTTTATAGAAGGCATTTTATATAGGACATCTATGCATTAACTCGTAATGAAGAGGAAATATCTTGCTATTCTTCATTGTTCTTCAAAATTGTTACATAAATAAACAATAAATACAATTTTACGCTTTATATTAATACGTATGTATGTGCATGTGTATATGTAATTTTGGTGCATGTGTAATTGAGCTTGCTTTAAAATACGTATGGCTTGCTAGTTGCATGATTTTCCATTATTCTTTCATACATTTAGACTATTAAATATAACAAAAATATTTCATTAATGACAAATTAGATATAATGTTCATATTTTTTTTGTTAACAAGTTACATGTAAATATTTCAGGATTAGAAATTTAAAAAATATTAATTAGATATATTAATAAAATTGAATTATAAATATACAAAATTAAATTCAATTATAAATGAATTTCATGTAAATGGCAAATGAATCAATTTCATTCAAGCGTATATTTTTATTGTGTATATTCATTTCCATTTTATCTTTAAGTTGTATTTATTGAATCTTCACACATAGCCTGTAACTTTATTACAGGTCTTCTAAACGACTAAAGATGGAAGCAGGCTATAACTCATACCCGAGCAGACTTGGCGCAGAAGCTCATTATGGTGAAGATAATTTGTTTAATCAGAGTGGACCGTACATAGTGTCTACGCCATCGTACTATTATAATACTTCACCACCTGTTAAATCGCAATCGAATCTGAAAGGAGATCAATCATTGGAAATGTGTACAGAGGATAATCTATCTCGGAGACTGATAATTCTCACGAATGCCTTGAATCAGGGAAAACCGATTCGAGTTGACGATCTTCTCTCGTTACGGTCAGATCAAAATGAGGTACTTATGTAAAGAGATTTTTTAGACAATTTTTTATTACATAATTATGTATCATTTTTCATAATCTCTTGGTTTGCATTAACTAATATATATTTAACTTTTAATATTTATTAAGATAATATTTTTTTAAATATACTAAAATTTTATCTATAATATTTACAGTGTGATTCCAAGGTGGTACAATTGTTGGCTGATCTACGCGCGGAGCTTCGTCTTGTCGCAAACGCTCGGCCAGGTGGACAGCTGGATCCTCAGCTTCCTATATTGAACCCACCTCTTCTAGGTATATGCGTACCTAGTACTCCCAGCACTATATCTATTGCATTGATAGTGACACGTATAACTTTTTCTGCAGATACGAATACACCGCATATGCCAGGCAATTTTGATGCGCACGCGGTGTATGCCGGCGACGATGCCGTGAGCTCTCACGGAAGATGGTCCCAGTTGGCCACTGCTGGTGTTCGAAGCGCTTTGTCGGCGCTCATATCGTATCATGGTCTGGATAACATCTATAATCCTGCTACTTCTGCATCCGCCATCAACCGATTATCGTCAAATAAACCACCAGGCCAGCCCAATCAAGCGCAGAACCTTTTCCTGCCCTCGACTTCCTCGCAACAATCTACTTTTAGTTCATAATGTGATTTTATAAAGTCGTGCGGTACATGACTGCGTTTTGTGTATGTTGTATATGTGCGTATGTATAAAATTAGAAAGAATCTATAAATCGCTATTTTTCAAATTATGCTAGTGTGAGAGAGAGAGAGAGAGAGAGAGAGAGAGAGAGAGAGAGAGAGAGAGAGAGAGAGACTGAGAGAAGAGAGAGCAAACGAATGAGAAAGAAAGATGATACGATCATGTCATCGATTTGTGTACAGTTTCCATTATCACTCCATTAGTCTAAGTGCACGTTCAGTGTATAATTGTATAATATGCGCGACCAGATACTTAATTAGAATACAATCTCTCTCCCAATGACAATGGTATTATAGTTATCATGATACTTACCAAATTATTAATGATATGATTATTTCCAAATTATTTTTCAATCAGTCACGCGTTGAAGAATATTCTGTAACGTTTCTTTTCTACATCATTACGAAAGGTCTGTGATACACACATGTGTATATTTATATATATATACAAATATATATACATATATACATTATATATTGCGAGTGGGAAGCTGAATCTTAAAAAGAATTGTGCTTGTTTTCATTCTGATGAAAAAAGGAAAACTTGTTTACGATTCTCGACGTAAAATCTTTAAAAAGATTTGCGTTTATTTTAATCTTATAAAAGAATTTTATTTCAAGAGAAATTAGGCGATGCTATGAGAGAACGTTGATAAATTTATGTAATATTATAAATGTGAATACTTATTTATCGTTTAAGATTTTTTATATAAGATACTATTATATATCACGAACGCTTATTTATTACGAATGTATTTACAGTATACAATGTACATATATGCTAAGATTATAATAAAGATGTCAACGAGATAATCTCAAGGCTTATTAAATCGCACATCTATACACTTTATCGTATGCAGAATATACAGAATATTTGACGATTAATGAAAAAATAAATAAAGATTAATTATTAATTAATTAATTGTCAGATATTCTGTGTATATGTGAATATACATACATATTCGTGCATTAAGTGTTACTTGTCAGTTGATCAGAGCTGTATGAATATTTTTACGGCTTCCGGATATATTTTTACTTTTCTTTCTGTATAAAATTGCAAAATCATTCCGAATTATATTTTTGATGCCCACAGCTAGACGGTCCTGAACTTGTATGTGTACATACATGATCATGATATACGTACATACATACACACATGTACACGATGAACTGTGTTCAGATAACTGTTATGGCGGAATGTGTTGGAATGTGTCGAAACGTTGACGGATATAATCGGTACAAATAAATATTAAAGATAATTGTACATTTAACTAGTAAAGATATATTATGAAGATAGATCGCGTTTATATGACTTTTTGAGAACGATTTAATATTTGTCGAAAAAACAGGAAAGATACACCAGATACACGTGTTACTCCGAAACGTTTACTCCAAACCGAAGTGTTTACTCCAAACAATGTCAGTAATTTTGCAGTTTAATTGCTTGACGCAGAACGAAACTGCGAAAAAAGCAATGGAGAGCTACATTGGAATCTTGCAAAAAGCATTTGAACATTATCAAAGTAGGTATATTTTATTATTATAATTTATATCTAATTAATATATTCCTTTCTTATTGAACACTAAAGGAATGCGAAAATATTTGAAAAATAACATTTACAATATTGAACTATTCACATTTCACATAAACTTATATATTTTAGAAATCGTAGAATTGGTCAAATTTAGAGTTATGAATCTTTAAAATTCTTTGGAAAACTTTTGTACAGAGATACTCAAGTAAGATCGAGATTGGCTAGACAATCTCGTTTAGACAACTTCTGATTGGTCCGTCATATTTAGAACAGTGCTTAAAATAGAATGAGATAAATGCATACCATTATATATATATATATATATATAATGGTATATATATTATATATATATATACATACGTATTTGTGTCATTTGGTTTGTTTTCTGTTCCTGCACTAGACTGAACTAGAACTCTCTTTCTCACTTTCTACAAATATCAAACATATACCTATTTCACTTTAAGTTCTAAAAGTGTACACTAGTTCAGCCACAAAAAACAGACCTATTATATCTTTGTTTTGTCTAATAAACAGTAAAGATAAAATGAGAGAAAACGCTAATAACATCATCTCGAATGCACCTAAAGAATGAGATGTATGGATATCGTATTCTATTAATCTATTATCTTATGCATAATCTATCATTCTATCTTAAGCGGGGAGCACAGACTTTTGCATAACGCATAAACCATATACATATAGAATTTGATTGGTTCATTGACTCATGCATAAGGAAATGGGCCAATGAAATTCTTTATGTATATGGTTTATGCGTTATGCAAAAGTCTGTGCTCCCCGCTTTAACCTCTGTTTTGGATACATATGGCGGACAGTGGCCAATCTCTTTACTCTCTCCTCCATATAAAGAAACTTCTGCTCTGCCCTCTAGAAGTATAGAAGATATAAAGCGGGGAGCACAGACTTTTACATAACGCATAAAGCATGTGCATAAGGAATTTCATTGGTCCATTTTCTTATGCATGAGTCAATGGACCAATCAAATTCTTTATGTATATGGTTTATGCGTTATGCAAAAGTCTGTGCTCCCCGCTGCTAATATTACATTTGTCGTACGATAAATGTAATGGAGCCGCCTGTATTACCGATAAAACTAGTGTTTTTAGTAAAATTATCGTTAAAAAGTTACAGAATAGACCTACTGCATCATCTTAAGACCGGTATTACGGTATTATATGCCTGGTTTATGCTTCAGGTCTTAATCCCAAGATCTTAAAATTCAACCAATAAAGCTACCAGTTCTAACCGAAATTTGAACCCTATTGGCTGAATTTTAGGATTAAGTCCTTAAGACCGAAGCATAAACCAGGCAATAATAGTTAATAAACGATGCTAAGAAATTTTCGAACGATTATCCAAAATTTACTAGATCACTAAACCAAGCATTGGAAAGTGCGGCAAAATTTAAACATTACAATATGCATTAATGCCTTTTAAAAACAATTTTCTAAATTAAGCTGTTAGCTAAATAATATTCTGTTTTACAGATTTATGGGAAGATTACATAAAATTGCAGGAAAAGTATAAACAGTGTAATGCGTGAGTTCAAAATTATTATTTATTTATATAATCTGCATTTATATAATTTAGATTTTAAGTCAAAACTTAAATTATTTATAACTTAATAATATATAAGTTCTAATAATAGGTAATAAAAGTATGTGTGTATACATTTATGTACATATAATATATTGTATAATATACATATATTTTGTAGAGTGCATTCTTCATCTCAAGTGACGATCGATACAAAAATAAAAAATGAAGTGACGTCGCAACAATCAAGTAACGCTGAGATACGAGAGAATGGTAGTACTCCATTATTGAGATTAAATACAAATTCGATTGATTGTAACTCTGATATAGGACCTAGTCTGTCAGATACAATAAATGAATTTTTGCACCAAGATACCGACGAAAATAATCGACCAGAAAGTCCAGTATTCTCTAAAATATTTCCAAGAACTGGCAGCAAGTCTGCAAAAAAATTGTGTTCATCTAAAATACTATACAGTGACTCAACTCCAGATATGAAGACACATCATAGTGAAAAAGTTGCTTCAAAGTATAATCACAAATTAGAAATTAGTACAACACATCATGTGGAAACCACACTTTTGCCGGATGGAAAGAGATTGAAGCAATCTCGACTTGCATTTCATCCAGTCAAAAGTAACCAAAATATGATATTAGCTTCAAATATAGATGAACATAAGCCAGCTAGTCGATTGCATAATGTCGAACAGAATTTTACCGAAGAAATCTCTAATGTAAACGCAAACATTACTGAAAAAGATACTATAAAAAATATTGAAATTTCCGAAGATGTGATAGATGTTAGTCCTACGCAGAGAAATATTACATCTAAAGTCAAACGACGTTTAAAACTCAAAAGGAAAATTCCTTCAAAGACTTTAATAAAAAGTTCTCCAAGTAAAAATAAATATCTTGATCATAGACCTGGTTCTAGTGTTGTTCCAGAGATAATAGATGTAGATTTTGGATTATGCCCTTCGCCAAAACATACTTCTACACAAATAGATGATGATAAATCCTTAATGTATACTGCAGCTAATACATTGAAAGATAAAGTTAGCAGAAATTGTCTTTCACCAATAAAAATGTATAACAAAACTAATACTCATATTGAAAATTCAAATGAAGGTCAAAAGGAAGATCCATTATTAATAAATAAAGTAGCAAATCTTAATAATATAAAAGACTTTGCCTATGAAGACAAAACTTTTTATTTTCCAACAGCTGCAAAGAAAAATGACATGAATAATTTAAACGATGAAACACATTTACACGATTCAGAAAACAAGCCACCTGAAAAAAAGTCAAATAAATTTAATGTGTAAGTATTAGTTAATAATTGTGATAATACAAGTTGCTTTTATATATCTAATAAAAATATATTATTTACAGATTTTCAAAAAGAAAGGCAGATGTTTCAAAACAACTCAATATGCGATGTAAAGCTGATAGAGAAAGATTAAATGGTTTGGATTGCTGGGAATGTAAAAAAGTAATACATAATATTAATATATGCAGTTACGTAAAATATATACCAAAAGCAATACATTTTCTATAGAAAAATAATTCGTATCATTTGATTTTTAGTACTATCAGAATTTATCACTTTCAAAAGAAGAATTCCAAAAACGATTGAACCAATGCTCACGACATCGACATAAGTATGAGAGGCCAAATACACCAGAAGGTATAAAATTTTATTTTATTTTTTATTATATATATACATATATAACTGTATACAGATAAAATATAATTTTTTTAAGGTTTTTGGGATCCGGAATTTCCTGAGACGTTGTCATGCACTTATCGACAAAAAGAAAATTGAAGTATAAGTACATATGTTTCATCATTTAAATCTAATTCTCAAGGTTTCAATGTGACTTGCAGTAAAAATCATAATAATATAGTGCACAATGAAAAACAAAAAAGTTAGTTAAAGTGGCCTTATAATGCCCGTTTCCACTAATATAGATTAACTTTATAATCTCGGTTAAACTTACTGTTCATCTTTTTCTAATTTTTAGAACTAGAAAAAGACGAAGAGCAAATTGAACCGAGATTAAAGTTAATCTACATTGATGGAAATGGGCATAAAAAATTGACGATTCTAGAATAGAATTTTGTCTACATGTTCATTTGTACATATATTCTAATTATATATTCTAAATATTAATAACTGATAAATATAAAAAATGCACAATGAAAAACAAAAAAGTTAGCTAAAGTGGCCTTATAAAAAATTGATGATTCTAGAATAGAATTTCGTCTACATGTTCATTTGTACGTATATTCTAACTATATATTCTAAATATTAATAACTGATAAATATAAAAAAAAGTATCATAATTCCATTTTTTAATAAAAATCTTAATATAAAAATGAATATTAAATATATAAAATGTTTACAATAAATAATGTATAGATATATGTTAAAATACAAACAAAAGGAATATAAACGTGTTCATGGCTTGAACATAGATCGATTTATTATTTTACAACATATATATATAGTATTATATATTGGGTAACATAGTATAGATTTATATAATTATCATTTAAATATATATAGTCATCCCTTTACATAAAAATATAGAATTTGTTTTGTGAGTCAGTCGGTGCTAAAGAAGGCTAATCAAACTCAGTTGCGGTGACCAAGCGAAGTTTGACACAGTTTTAAGGTACATTAGTGTTGTTCCTGCTTTTCAAAATCCCTTCTAAAATAATATTTGCATCATTTAACGCTGTTAAACAATTAATTCTAGGCTTGCGAAACATTAATTCTTAAACCTATTGCTGATTTTATCTAATACCAATTTCAACATAGGTTTCAAAAATATATTTAAATAACGAATTCTGTTATCTTCCGTTTTCAATATGTTTTCATTTCTGAAAATTTATAATTCTCAATAAATAAATAGATGTTACAAATATATATATGTATATATATATATATATATGTATGTATATATATAATATATATTTGCAGAAAATAAAAATAAAAAATTTTGATACAAATTTAATCGCCGAGCAATAAAAATAGTGATATAATATTAGATGTACATTTACGTATGTAATATCCATCATTTAACATCATATTCATCAAGCTATATAATTTCTCAGCAAAACGATCGCACGCACACACAATACTTTAAAACATCAAGTCATATTACTGATTTTTTTATAATAATTCTTGAAAACAAAATGCTGATTTATGATTGACTAGATCATTTCGTAATACAAATTTACGCGATTTTTGTCTTTATTTTGCAAGTTTGTATAATATGTTTGTGGCTGTCCGATCGATCATTCGCGTACTTAAAATATATATCTGATAATTCTATAGTATCCAATCTCATATTTGATATACTTTCACGAATGATCCAATTTGTTTATAAAATAAATATAATATATAGAACATGAACAATTTTTTTATGAAGGAAATAACGAAGTTAGTTGGAAGTGGCTATTCCGAAAATGTATACAGCTTTAAATGTAAATTCTTACGTTCTGTCATATACGTATTTTGGTATCGTGCAATTGACTTAGCTGATTGGTTTACGCTGATTATTACTTATTGAATTTGAGATTAAAAGTTCATTCATTCTTTTAAAGCTATTTTAAAGCACATTAATCGAAGGGCACGTAGAAGTTAATGTAATTCAGTGTACACAAATAATGTACACGTAAGAAAAGCTTGTCTTTTTTTGGAAATGTTTTATAATATAACAGGAACGTCCTGTTATATTTTGTAAATGTTTTACATTATAAATAAATTTAAATTATTATATAAACAAGAAATAAAACGCTCATATGAATTCAAACAATAAAAAATAAGAAAAGGCCTATGTACGAATAAATAAGATGTGTGTGTGTATATGTATATTTAATAATAACTTTTAATATTAAAATAAAAAGAGATGGAACGTTTCGGCTTATTTAGTTATCTTCAGTTATCACAGAGAATTAATCCATGTAAACACAAATCTTAAATAGCATTACATAATATTAAACACAAATCACGTGACGCATATCGCAAAGTCAAGATGTCAATTGCGTATGGATACTCAATATTAAATTGTGTCATTATGAAAGAGAAGTTAATAACAGTAGTCATTAATTTTGAAAGAGTTAAAGTTAAAAAAAATGGATTCACAATATGTCTATAGTATTTGATTTCATGTGAACATCCGTCATGTTGGTGTTTTAAGATCTAGATACTATTTAAGATTTTCGTTTATATGGATTAATTCTTTATGATGGCTGAAGATGGCTAGGTAAGTTAAAACGCCTACCATCCCTTTTCGTAATATTACAAGTTATTAAATGTACATCTTATTTGCTCGTTCATACAAACTTTTTCTTATCTTTTCATTATTTAAATAATTATAATTAAATTGAGCCGCCTTTCTAATAAAATGTTAAAATTTCGAGATATATAAAAGTGATTTTATATATAAATATTTCATAAATTTTCTACAAAAAACAATATATTGTTCACGTCAGACAATAAAAATCTTGGCCTGTATTAACATCGCATATTTAATGCTAAATGCAGTCAGTTTGATCATCAGTCCACGATTAAAAATTAACTGAAAAAAAAAATATATATATAATTCTTATTAAATAAATAAAAACATCAATCTCAAACGTTCGCGTAATGATAAAAAATCGAGGTGCTAGTTAGACTTGAATCTATCAGTATAAAATGTTCCGTTGTTTCACCGATCGATCGTACAGTGTAATAATCATTCAGATGTTGATACATTGCGTATGCCTTGAGTAAACACCTAACGTATCTATCTATCTTTCTGTTGTCTACAAGTATTTAATCCTTGAAATAGGCCGCGTTTGAATGAGCGGAAGAGGACGTTACGCGAGTCAATGTAATAAAACAGTACCATCTTACATCAGAAAAAGAAAGGATTCATGCACCATGTTAATATTTCAAGCTGTCTTAACACATACAAGTATCGCTTTTACTTTCCCTCTCTTTATATATTGTTCTTAAATTAAAGATTAATTTAAATTAATACTTTTCTCTGATATATATATATATACGGCATTGTATATTTCTCATTATAGAAGTTTAAGTCTACTATCATTGATCTTTTCGTACTTTAGAGAAATACAATCGGAATACGAAAGAAGCTCGCGACAGTTGGTGCACTCTAAAACTAATCACGCGAAGGTGCGGGTCAATCGGGAAGTACCGAGCGTGTAGAAAATTCCAATTATAATGAAACAACCGATTGATTCACTCTTTACTCCAATAGGGTACATCATAGTAAACAGCTAGTAAAAGTATTTAGTTTTTTCACGACACATCAAAATTAATAGAATAGATACCTGTTATTCTCGTTCGCATCTTGATTATAATTATTTTAACTCTGAACAGTATAAAATAGCCGACAAGTAATTATACATTTAAATTTCTCGTATATTTCTTCTCTCTTGTAGTTAAATTTTCAAGAACAGAGCTTAAAACATTTCATTGGAAGAAAAATATTTTTCTTAATTTTTTAGAAAATTTGTAAACAAACATTAAAAAATAAAAAAATGCTAACTTTCTAAATTATTAGAATTAATAAGATGTCTCAATTTTATACCGTTTAGAATTACACTTGCGTCGTAATTTTAGCTTCACTGCTCCGATTTCGTGGGTGGCGAAGAACCAGTAGCCGTAACGGATTTCTCATTTGTCGATACGGGTAAAGCCTTGAGAATTGCATGTACCTCTTCCGCCACTGCCATCAGGACGAACTCGAACTGTTGTTTTGTAGCAACCATGTCAGGTCTTTGATCTCTAATATGCTCGAGAGTAGCTGCAATATCAATTTCCTTCGCTCCCTTCGTCATACGGTTTAGGACCATGTCGATCAAGCAGTAAGTACCAGTTCGTCCAATTCCATCACTATGAAATAATTAAGTATGAGGATATACCGAACGTTACACTGATATTTTAAACACTTAATATAAAAATATAGGTACCTACCTGCAATGCACGACTATCGGGCAAGACCTTCCACGATATGATTTATTAACTTTCCTAGAAAAAAAAAAATTGAAATAACTTAAAAATTTATTTTTAGACATGATGTAATATAAAAATATTTGCCATTCTTTTCTTGGATTTTAATATATGAATAATTTATATGTATAAAACACATCTTTCGATTTAATTTTTTAGATATATAATTAAATAATAATCTTTTAAACAGAGTTACATTATAGATATAATAAATTATTATAGAATAATATAGAGAGAATATAATAAATTATATAATATAATAAAAAAAGTCGTACTTTGTGTGCGACATTACAGTTAAATCGACACAAACCTACGAAACTCAAGCAGAGCCTTTGTAGAATACGGGACACTGTTCTCCGGCCAAGAGAGGAAGTGGAATTGCGTGACAGTACGAGTCTCACAAGTGCGGAGATTTTTCAAATAGAAGGAGCGCACTAAATAATCGTCGCACCAAAAATGCTCCGACACCAAATGCACTTCATAGATATGATAGAGCTCCGATCCTTCCTCGGGCCAATAACGATGGCACATGGCACGACCTTCTTCGGTAAGTCGTGTCAGCATCACAATTACTACACTGCCTTGTTCCCAAACCAATTGCCAGAAATCAGCCGTAGTCTGCGGTAATGGCCCTTGTGTGGCTATGTAAGCCGGATTCCTAGGATCGTGATCCGTCTGCAACGAACAAATAAAAAATATTGCGATTTTCACAAAAAAAATTCATTAAACTCTCGGTCCATTGTAAACAATAAACTAGATTTATTTAAAAAATTGTCTGTTCTTTTTTCTTCTTGATTATTATTAAAATAAAAGAGCAAAATTTTAATAAACTTAATCGCAGTTCGCGAATTCAATATAAAAAAATTATCATTTTTATTCTTTTTTCTATTAATTTAAAGCAGGGTCGTTTCCATTTGTTTCC